AAAATTTTCTGGCCCCCCCCCAATTTGAAAATTTTTTTTTGAATTGATTATTTTTATATTTTTAAAATAAATTTTGAATATTTATTCTACAAACATGTCTAGTTTGTAAATTTTTTTCTATCCTGTTTTATTTTTATTTTTACCCAATATTAAATTATCATTCATTCATTTTTTTTTTCATTTTTTTATGTCGTGTATAACATTCTATTTAGGTATCACATTTATATTATAATATATAACCAGTTATTTTATTTTACAGCGTTTATTTTAAAATTATGAAGAAACAATCAGTTATTAACTCTTATTTTAAGTTAAAGTTAAACAAATGTTAAGCAACATCACCTCTACAAACTACTAGTAATACTACATCAGAAATTTCAGAAACTGATTCTTCTCATAGTTAGTATAAATTTATATTATTATTTCATGACTTGTATGATATTGATATATAGCAATACCTAACCTATATATTATTATTTCATATATATTTATTATATATAAGATAAGAGACAGACATTTATTATTAATATTATCATTTTTGTATAATAATTTTAATTATTAAAATAAATATATTCACTCATATTAAGATATGAATGAAGCTAATAATCTAGAAAATGATCCTCACTACACTCAGGAGGAGGAAGATGGTAAATAGTTTAAAATTTAACCCAAATTTTTCTATTTATATATTATTGACAATATCAATAGGAGTAGGAGATTATGGTGTTTCATTATTACATTTTGATTTTAAAACAAATAAAGATGAAGAAGAGACTCAATCATCTTCATCTAGCAGCTCAGTCTCTCATTGTCAAGAGGCAACTAGTAATTAATTTATAAATATAAAAATATTATATTTTTTTGTTAATCTTTAAAGATATAATGTTTATGACCTTTTTCTAGTTTTGAATACTGAATATCTATGATTTTACTGATCAACTTTACTGATAATCTTCATCAGGGTTGGGCACTACAGTATAGCAAATACTTGTATCTTAAATACAAGATAAATTTTGTGTTTGTTCATTTTCAGCATGCCTTTCCTTCGCCCATCCTGATGACCATTATTATTTATGACCCTTTCCCTCATTACAATTTATTAATTATAATATTTTTAGAGTCAAAAAAGTCCTCTAATGGTTCAATTCAAATCCCAGGTGACCTTGGCCAGAATAAACCAAATCAAATCAAATTAAACAATTACGCGAAAAAAGATATCCATGGAAGGCAAAGATCATTTCAAAAATCATGGTATAGAGGCCGAGACTGGTTGGAGTATAGTGTAGAAGCTGACGCTGCCTTTTGTTTTCCATGTAGGAAATACTTGTGTAATCCAAGTGATGAATTTGGACAAACGGGATTCAGAAATTGGAAAAATGCGTTAGCTGCCAAGAAGGGACTGCTAAAACACGAGAGCTCGAAAGCTCATTTAAATTCAATTACAATATGGCATGATAAAAATCAAAATATAAACAAAGGTACAGAAATAACTAAAATGTTGGGAGGTGATCAAATTAATCGTAATCAATATTATATTAAATCAATATTTGATTTGATGCTATTTCTTAGCATACAAGAGCTACCTTTCCGTGGGACTGGTTCAACAAATATTACGGATGCTGCAAAAGATGAAAACATAATTTATTCTTCTGGGCTATTTATAGCAATGTTTTCCTACACCATCCAAAAAGACCCTGAAAAATAAAATTGAAATTTATACCCCAAAATTCCCAATATACATCACCACAGATTTAAAACGAAGTAATATCCATTATGGCAGATATGGTGCTTGAACATATTTCAGACAAATATGATAAAAGCGAGATGCCTTTTTTTTGTCTTAAGGCTGATGAGACAAAAGATGCTTCAGGTTGTGAAAACCTGAGCATAATAATTCGCTATATTTTTTCTGGAGAAATCCAAGAAAATTTAATAGGAATCATTAATTTAGAGTGTCTTTCTGCTGAAAGCCTTACAGATTGCATTTTAAAGCAACTTAATGATCTAAATATTAATTCAGCTAATATAATAAGCCATCATATGATGGTGCAAACGTTATGTCTGGCCGAAATGGAGGAGTGCAAACACTTCTTCAAAAAAAAATTAATAAAAATGTTCCTTTTATACATTGCTCAACCACAAGTTGCATCTTGTGGTTCAAAATTGGTATAATAATATTGTTATTATTTATAATTTTTTTAATTTATCAAATGCATTGTATAATTTTTTCAGGCGTTTTAACGTATCCTGTAAATATACAGGCCACACCCTTAAGAGACTTTTAGACCAGAGGTGGACTGGTCATTTGGAAACATCTTGCATTATTTATGAGAATTTTGAGGCTATTGGTGAAGTAGAACTCTTAATTCAGAGGTTTCAATTCATGATTCAGTCGAAGCCTCTGGTCTTTTATCTCAATGTATTAATATAAATTACATTATATTAGCCATCATAATTTATGAGATATTAATTACAATAGATCCACTAAATAAGTATTTACAATCAGTAGGTACTAATCTAGTGGATGCTAAAAATTGTATTGATTCTACTATCAATATATTAAAAAATAAAAGAAGTGATAATTCTTTTGCTTTGATTATGATTAAGGCTGAAAAACTTTTATCAAAATTTAATCTCACTCCCCAAAAATCATCACGGGTACGTAAAACGCCTAAAAATTTCCAAGATTTTTTAGTTGATAGCAAACTAGAATTCGATTGTGAAAAAGACTCCAATTGGAGTTCTTTAAAAAGGATATATTATGAAATTATAGATAACTTTGTGGATCGTTTTTTAGACCGATTTACAGAAGATGATTTTAATCTTTTTTCATCTTTTAATACATTGTTCCCCCTTGACCCTGATTATTTTTTATCAGATAAAATGGCCACATTAAAATCCCTGTTAAACTTAAATATGGAAACACTGCATCATGAAATGAAGATAGCAAAAGGATTGCTAGCTTCGGAAGCTAAAGAAAATCATAATTTTGAAAATATCTTACATATTATGTATAAAAAAAAATATAATCATGCATTTAAATAATTATATAAATGCTACTCAGCAGCGATAATCATTGGAATATCAACGGCTTCTTGTGAGGCCTCGTTCTCTACATTAAAGAGAGTTTTATCGAGCAGTAGAGAGTCTTTGAAGGATAAACGTAAACAAAATTTAGTATTAATAGCGTATGAAAAAAGAATAACGCAGAATTTATCTTTTAGTTCATTTATATTAAAATTTAAAAATCGCCGTATTCTACTATAGTAATATTTTGTTTTGTATATGCATATTAAGTATTATTTTGTTTTGTATATTCATATTATAGTATTATTTTGTTATTAAATTTTTAATAAAAATAGGAAAAAATTTCTATGAATGCGTAATTATTTGTTTGATTTTAAAAAAAATAGTGCCCCCCCCCCCATAAGTAAGCACTTGGCCCCCCTAAGTGAAAATTCCTGGCTACGGCCCTGTTTCTTGATTTAAATATCTCTATTAAACCATTTAAAAAAATGATGTAAATAGTTCATTCTAAAACTCAGGCCACAATATGATACCGAAATATATCATTCTAAATAAAGAAAATTAAAAAAATATCTAGGGATGTAACGATATTGGACGATTATTCATCTTTTATAAAGTCTCAGTTATCAGCCGGTATTATTAACTTTCCGATATGATCCGATAAAATGGCGTCTTAATTTTAAAAAATTTTCAGTTGGCTTTATTATTAATTCAGCCATTATAAAAGATATTAGTTGAGAAAATGCATCAATTAGTATGTTATTCCATTTATATTACTTAAAAAAGAACTTGCTAATCATTACGAGCACAGACTATAAAAAATGCAATGTATAAAATATATCTATATTTATCGGAGACCTATAGAGACACCATTTTATTTTTCAAATATGTTTTTCGGCACGGCCCAACCTATTTTATATTTTCAGGCCCCCGGGTATATTTAAAAAAATTAAACAGGAGACGGGTCTGTAGAGCTCTGATATTTATTGGAAAAATTACTTATTTTAGTAACAAATTTAGATCCTCATTTTTCAATGCAATTAATACTTTATAGACAAAATTTATTTCGACAATGCATTGACATCAACTCTTGTGAATTAATTCATCCAGTTTACATAAAAAATTTAATTTATTTATATATTATTATTAATAATAGAAAATTAAAATATAGACATGGAAGAAATCCCATCAATATCAGCAACCAATTCAACTGGCATATTTAGTTTGAGGGTGCTGTAGGCAGTCAGTTAGTATTGATGTATTAGTTTTTTTTTGTTATATAAAATAATTGGTTTGGTTGGTTATTTTTTTTTTATATATTTGTTTATTTTTAAATTAGTAATTGTAAAAAAATAATAATAATTATCAGAGACCTGCAGAGGTACCATTTGCACGGCCCTGATTAAAAAATTTCGTGCCCGGCCTGGATTTTTTTTTTCAAAAATATTTTACGGCCCGGCCCGGGTTTAAAAATTTTAGGCCCGGTTCGAATATTAATTTTTTTATATAATATTCGACCTGGTATATACAAAAAATTTATCTATTTGGTATTTTATCATATTTTTCGGCGAGTATTATCATTTAATAAGCCATATTAGCTAATGTTGTTAAACGGCTCGTTTTGAGCCGATTTTTAAATGGCTAACTCAATATTTTGCCAAAAAAATATTAACTAAGCCTCGAAATTTCGATACTATATGTCTAGACCTTTGCTCCTTTTATGAGCAAAATTTTCAGGCTTGCATAATATTTTTCTGGATAAAAAACTGAGTTAGCCGTGCCGTTTAGCAACACTACTACATATTTTATTTTATTTTAAACAGACATTTAGTATATTACAAATTGATACTATAAAAAATTTGTGTAAATAATTTTGAGAATATACTATATTAATTGTATTTATAAAAAAAATAAAACTTATATTTTAATTAATAAAAAATATAACATATATTATATAATAATGTATTTATTACCTATTATCCTTTGCGTATTTATTCCATGGCGGAAAACTATAATTATATTATGTAATAGATACTATGAGTGTTAGCTAGTGTTAACTTTCACCAAATATTATATTAATCATAATATATAATCATTATAATCATATCTAATGGACGAATATAATAATTCATGTTGTATAAATTTTTTCAAAAAATACGGCCCGGCCCCATAGACCCAGGTATTTTTAAAAAAAAAATTTCAGGCCCGGCCCAGGTTTTTAAAAAAAAAAAATTCGGCCTGGCCTGGGTATATTTTAAAAATTAAACAGGTCTCTGATAATTATTATTATAATAATGGAATATATATATCATTAAAAAAATAAATAGGATTATCATTTAGGATTTTATTATTATATTTAAAAAAAGATTTTTTTTTGGTTTTTAAAAAGGTTTGTAAAAATATTGTTTTTTTAAAATAGAAATAGAGAAAAATTTAGTTTTCAGAATTTAGTATTTGGTGTAATAATTTTGTATAAGGAGAAAATTAAAGATAAAACAAGTAAAAAAAAGGATTTGTAAGAAAAAAAAAGGAAACAAAAAAAAAGAAACTCTTAACCAAAGTTATAAAAAAAAAGGAAATAAAAACTCGGAATAGATCTTATTAAAACAACCGATCCTACATCTCCTTTGTAGCATTAAATTTGTCAGAGGGGATCTTATGCTCTACTGGTAAAGCAAATGAAGAGTCTAGTTTAATTAATAATACCAAGAAAATTGCATGTATCCCTTGAAATTGAAAATTATCTAAGGAACCCTATAAATAATAATTATCAATTCCTTTAAAATATTGGGCTGTGAACTGCTATAGATGTCCCAATCTTTCTAAACTTGCTCATCAATATAGCAAAACCTGTCACAAGTGTAACATCAGAATCTGTTTTTAGAGAAGCTGATGATATTGACAGCCTATCAATGCAGGTTGACCTTGGATAAGTCAGAAATTTTAGTATTTATGAAAAGAAATCTTCGATATATTAATTTTAATTTAAATATCTATTCAAAATTTCCAGGTATATTTGTATAATTACTATATAAATCAGATCTGCAAAAGTGCCATTTGCACGGTCCAGCCCGGATATTTTAAAAATTTATTACATTTAATTTTAATTTTTATAGCTAATAATGGCGATTTAACATATTCGATTTTAAAATATATGGCCCGGCATTTTTAAGCCTGACACGGGTATATTTAAATATAAAATATGGCTCGACCCGTGTACCCAGACTTAGGGCCTTATTAACAAGCAGGTGGCGCTCAGACCATTTTCAACTGCTATATAAATTCTTAAGTAAAATTTTGTTGGGATGATATTAAATTTATTTAATATTGGCAATTAATATAAGGGAATGCATGAGTTATTAAAATATAAAAAACTAAGTAGTATTTAGTTGAGAGATGGACAATTAAATTTTGTTTAGGGGGAATAAAATATCCGCCCAATTAATATTGAGAGAGTGTGTATTGTCACCTTTAATTATTTGTAATTAAATAAAAAGTGTTAAATTGTATTAACGAAGGTTAATCTAATTTTGTGTAAATATTTTCTCTAAGTAAATAAAATTTAGATGACTATATCTCAGCTAAATATTAATTAATTTTTACATTATTTTATAATATATTCCAATAGTTATAAATATTAAATAAAATATTTAATAAAATTGAAGCGAAATTTCATTTTATAAATTAGTATAACAAATATGAGCGAACTATTTCTACTCTTGGTGTGATATTTTAAAGTTCTGCCGGTCTGGCAATAACATCATTAATAAATAGTCCCAGATAGTGACGCGAAAAATATTAATATAATATTTTCTCCCTATTGTTTCTTTTTTGCCTATTGAACATTACAAATGATGCTAAACAAATCAGGAGGTGGTAAATATTTGCTATTCACTTTTATATCAAATTTTGTAAATAAATAAAATAGATAAAACATCATCAAATTTTAAAATTCATTGTTCAATAAACTCTAATGCATAAAAATAAAATAAAGTAGAAAATAAATATTTTGAATTTTTTTCTTATGATTCGATTAAATCAATCCATTTATAAAATATAGATGTAACTCAAAAAAATACTTTCTAAAACTATCTAATATGATATAAAAATGGAGTCTAGTTTTTAATGAACAAAATATTTGATATTAAAAGCTTACATCCAATAATCCCAAACATAACGAGTAAGACCGGATAAAAAAATCTGAAGGCCACCGCTATTACCAATTCGTGAGCCAGCGCTGATATTTGAAAGACAGCTAACATTGCCAATGGCCGGCTAAGTCCTTTTCCCCAAAACTAGTCATACAATATTAAAATTATTAATACACCTAATATATTTTACAGCACAATGTGCAATAAAAACTTCAATTAAATAATCCATTTCTATTTAATATTTTATGTATTTACTAACTTTTTTATAATTGATGTTAATTTTCATATAATATTAATGAAAAATGATGAGTATTTAGTTAATAAAAATTATATATTGTGAGGACCTTTCTTTAGCTGATATTAATAATTTATAACTAGTATCTTATAATAAAAAAATATTTGTATAAAATACTAAACAATTTTTAAATAAATACAGGCTCAACTTTTTTTAATTTGTTACTGCTTAATTTATAAATACTGCCTAAATTTACTGCCCAAAAAAATCATAGCCATCTCATATTACTAATCCTAGCTCAAGGCCTTAACCCATATTTGGTTTAGGCATAATCACTCAATTTTAAATGTCCAAATCTCTTTTTATTAAATTCTGCATATTTTTAATACCCCAGTTATTATTGGTTAATGATAAATACTGCCAAAACAACATATAGAAATTTTCTAAAACACAACCTAATTTGTTAAACAACGACTAAATATTTTTTAGAATGCAATAAAATCCATTTTTTATATATTAAGTTGTGAAATCATGCGGTCGCCTCCTCCGATCTATTATATATCATAGCCCCTAGGACGGAAACACCAAGTTGACTTCAGAGAAAAATATGATCCTTGCTCGAACCCAAAACCATCGGATTGGCAAGCGACTCTCTTATCGACTAGACCACAGATGCTTTCCAAAAATTACGATTTATCAAATATTTATAACCAAATTAGGCAGTATTTAACCAAATGAAAAATAAAATAAGTAAAATATCAATTAGTTAAACACTGCCTAGTAAATATCATAAACCGATGTTATTTTTGTTAATTTATATTTTACCCTTTCCAAAGTTGATTTTTTTTACTTATCATTAAAAATCCTAATTATTCTATTGTTATAAAATTATTTGCTCTTTTTTATTTAAATTTGTTTCTCAAAAAAAAAAATAAGTATATTTAACGATTATTAACAAATTAAATTTTATATACTTGTTCAATTTGTTCATTAAACAAATTAAATTAAGCATAGATAAATTTTTATTTATAATAATAATATGGCCCACCAAAACCAATCTTTATACTTACCTAATTTATTATATATTTAAATGATATCTTGAAAACACTGGTTAAAAAGGTATTTCACGCTAGGACACAATACCTGACCTGACCATATTTTTACCTTACCAGATTGCCTTTGAAGGTTTTATTGGAAAATTATAATTTCACATGTAGAATTGAATTAATAAAGAATTCATATTCATTTCTATATAAAAATATCTAACCATTCTCAAATCCCTGTAAACGTAAATATAGAGCCAATCATGAACTACAACATTCCACGTTCTGTAATATTGGGTAAACGATGTAGAGTTCCACCAATCCTATAAAAATATATTTCGATAGAATACAAATTAAAAATTCTTGATATAATGAAGAATAAATAGATCTATAAGATTAACAAACAAATTGCAAGTAATTTTAAATAACCTTAAAAAATATATCAAATTCCATGAAAAGCGAAATATTTAAATTTATTTTATATAAATGTCAATTTCAATAAATTGCTACATGCTGAATTGGAGTAATTATATAATTAGTCAGCATGGCAGTTATTTTTCGCCAAATTCAAAAGTAGTCAATTTGTCATAAAGGTCACTATATAAAGGTTAATGTTAAAAACATTTTGGCATATTTTTAATTTATTTAAATTCATTGAAAACCTTATAAAACATTCTATCGGCAAATCTGAGCATTTCAGCAAAAGCATTTAACCAGGAATGCAGGACACCAAAAAACGCTATGATTAGCACCATAGTTCCGGGTAACATGGAACCGAATACGGACAAAATCATGGTCTATGATTAAAAATGACAAATATATTATCAAAATAATGTATTTTCGAAATTTTTAGTACCTTTTTCTGATCTTACTTTTGAAACGTAGTAAATAAAGGCACATCTCCTTAACTATACAAATTGGCATATTAATTAGGACACCAAACCACTCTTTTTCACCGATATCAATCATATATTTGAATTGATATATACTTTTTACCTAAATTTTATCCATATCTTATTTGATTTACAGGTAAGGAAGAATAAATACTTGGTGTCGGTATCGATCAACACTTTCAATTTGGTACCCAAAATAATGATTAACGCATAAATAAAAACATTGAACTACAATAAGCCATGCATTGAACTATAAATTTCTGAACAGATAAGAAAAAAGGCGTTGTAAAATTTTCCTTCCTATTTCTAAAATTTTTTAACAAGTGCCAATCCACATATTCTTCATTGATCCGATCCGATATTTTTTAATGTTGGTTCACAACCGATGCGATTTTTATATTGATTTTTACCAACCCTCTATGAACCAAATGTAGTTAAAAATCCATTATGCAAAAATCGAATTATGGATTTAATTTTATTTTAATATTTTTATTTCTACAATTAAGATAAGTCTATATAATTAAAAAAAAAATTATAATTGATAAAAAAAATATATATTATTATTTTAAATATTTATTTCAAATTACATAATATATTTGTTTATTACTTATTATTATTATGTATATAGATTTGTGTTATATAAAAGTGATTTAACAATAAAAATATTTTATATAATTTTAGAATTGCAATTGAATTGGATATAAAATATAACTGATCATTATAATATTTAAATGACATAAATTATGGCATAATTAAATTATATTAAAAATCAAAACCATTGGTATCTTTACAGAACAAAAAATTAGATATGGCATCGGATCGGTAGTCGGTCGATATCAATTTAATATCGGGAATATCGGATTGGATCGGCCTCCAAAAAGTGGTATCGGTACACCCCTAGTGGAAATAATTTTAAAACTATTTTTTAATACATATAAAACATGCACATTATTAAGAATATTGAAAATGAACATTTTTAAAAAAAAATTAAAAAATAAACATTAAAAAAATATATAGGTCATGGCGGCATTGAACTGTGAGTAGAGACTAGATTTGTTGTTTTAGATAAAAACACTTGTTAAAATCTCTAGATTTTAATGAGATTCTAAGTACGAAGAATTTTAAAATTTTATAGGTGCAGGGCCAAAATTCCTTAAAGTGGTCGTTACCAAGCAAAAAATATATTAGTTAAAGGAGGGTATTTATTAAATTTTCGTATCTCCGTTTAAATAATGCATTCCGGAAGGGAATTGCTGGCACATACATTAATACATGTATAATCCCCAGCTAATTTTCTTCCTTCCTTGAATGAGAATGTAATAATGCCTTGACTTACAGTCAGCTGCGTTGAGTCTTACGTGTTAAATGTAGGTGGGTGCCCTGCTATATTGAAAATCTTGTCTAATATAGTATTGATTGTTTGATGCCGGATGCTTCTCCTCCACTGAATTTACAGTGGAGGGATGGTAGCCATTCAATTGACTGTCGTTTTATCCAAAACACAAGTGTAAGGAAAAACAATTTGACATCCTAAGCGTAAACATAATACTATGCATTCCCCAGCACTGTGAAGTCCAAAATTAGAAATAGTTTACGCCACTCATAGCCATTATCCAGGCTGGCAAACTTTAAATATGGCACTGCTTCAGGTTGCAAGTTCGAATTATGAAAAATGACGCAACGGTATTAAGTTATTTATAGTAAGTATCTGTCAGAATTTATTTATTTCCAATTTAAGACAAGTTTCATATTACACATTACTGGTAATGTAAGCTAAATAATAATTCTTTTTTTTACTGATAAAAATCAATAAATCTACTGAAAAATATATAGGGGACTTGGCAACCCATTAATCGCATTTTAAAATTAAATAGATTATAAGGGTTAAATATTATCCTAATATAGCTTTTATTAGTATGCATCTATAAACAAAAAATGTTTTGAAATAACCAACTATTAAAATTTTTATTTAAGAAATAAAATTTTGATGTAAAATTCAAAAGATTTTTACATGACAGAATTTTAATTTTTAATTATATAATCAATTATTATAAATTAAATTTTATAGCAAAGTTTTAACTCTCTTTTATAATTTGAGAAAGTTTTATGAGTATTTATTTTCTCCAGATATTATTTTCATCATGATTAGTCAATTTAGAGCTAGCGGGACTTGCTAACCCATACATGTTAATTATGGCAGTTAATATGAAAAAATATTTTAAAATCGTGGAAAGATAATTTCATGGCTGTGTATGATTGGTATTTAGTATTAATCCTAAGCATAATCTCTCCTTAAGATCCTTATTATTATATTTCCAAAATGTTTATTAAATTAACCAAAATATGTTTAATTTTATATATAATGAGCTTCAATTTAAAAGTATTATGATATTTTGAACAATATAATAATAAATTTATTTCAATTCATTATATCCTAAAAAATTAATGGTTTAGAAAACCCTCAGCTTTGCCTAACCTGACTATTGAGGCGTATTGAACAAAATTTCAACTCTTAAAAAAATTAAGTTTCAAAAATATTATTACATTCTTAAAAATGTTTACAAGGCTCTAAAAAAACAAGAGTTTAGCGGATTTTACAAAAATCGGGTCAACTAGCCCCAGTCTCCCCTTGACAGATAAATATTGAAAAAAGATAATATACTGAAAATTTATACTGAACCCTAGAATACTGAGATTAATATTTAGACTAGCAAAATTAATAAAATATTAAAAATTTTGTTATAAAAAAATATATTGGTATTTCGAATTGAAAATTTATACTGAACCCTAGAATACTGAGATTAATATTTAGACTAGCAAAATTAATAAAATATTAAAAATTTTGTTATAAAAAAATATATTGGTATTTCGAATAAATACTGGTGGAATAGATATGACACTCAATTAAAAAACAATATTTGATATGATTGGAATTAAAGAATAAAAATACCAGACATGATATTTAAATAATTTAATCAATTTTACTTTTGGAGTCAAGTGATCTTGATTAAAATGTTTGAAAACCGGTATACAGAATCTTACAAATATGTAATATGTATAGAAAAGGCAAGTCAGAACTTGTGCTAAATTCGATACAACGTAGTTCCATCTGATTATATTTGTTCTATAAGATAAACACAATTAAAAATGATTAGAATATCAGACAAAATTTGCATTCAGGGTCCATATTTTAATAAGAAATATAATATTATTGAATAACATTTATTTAAAAAAACCTAGGATAATTGTCTCTGTATATTAATGTAGGAGCGAATAGGAAATATAAGTATTTTGAGAAATTAGGAGTGGTTTCCTCAATATCCTGAGACGTTAAAAGGCGTTTCTTTAGCTTAAGGTCTTTAAGAAAAATAATAAATTAAGTAAAATAAATGTCAAAAAACCTTTTTCGAGTGTTTTAACTTTGACAATGTTTTCGTGCACGAAGGAATGAACTTTCATCAATAAACGGAGCTTTATATCATAATATCAATATTGATAGCGAAAATAATATAATTGTTTAATTTCATATAACTTTACAGCCCGATTTATGAATGTCATTTGCCAGTCAAAAAATGACACCCCCAAAAATATGAATGAATAACATCGTAGCTTGATTATTTTAGTGCTCTAATTACGTTTTAATTTAAAATGTCAAGAAGTTCCAAATCATTATCTTTTAGCTACAAAACCAATTGATAAAAGAAAATTTGGGGTTCAGCATTTCTAATTCTTATTAATATTATAAAAAATTTTAAAAAATAACTGGATCAATGTATTGACAAAAATAAACAATAAAGTTGAAATAATAAAAATATCTCTCAATTTATAAAGCTAGAATCAACCTTATTAAAATGTCAAGTAGAGCACTCCAATCATCATGCGACGATTTAATCAATATTAAGAATGAAAATATTGGTTCATAACTTTTTTCTAAGTCTGCGGACTGAAACCAGGTTTTTTTGAACTCAAACCCACATATTTATTGGGTTCACGTTCTGTAATGAAACCTTTAAAAAAATTTCTGAGCCCGGGACCCTCTTAAAAATTTTAAGGACCAAAAACCCTTAAAAACTCCCATCAATATAGTTTAAATGCCCCAACATGCAATTTTTAAATATAATAATTAACTTGTTCAAGCATAATAAGAAATGATGAGGCTGGAGGTAGATCGTAAATCATTAAAATAAAATATATTGGTATAGCCAAAAACAGAATTTGATAGGTGACATATAAAAAAAGCCAAAACGTGCAAACTAAATTCCGGAAATTGCACTTTTTAAGAGTCCTGAATACTTTTACGAGTGATTTTGAAGCATCTTTGCTAAAATTTGAATCGTTGTCGACCCCACTACTTTCTAAATTATAATGTATTATAGTTTCTTTAAAAATAAATTAGGGGATATGGAGTCTGTTAGGGTTTTAAGAATTGAAATCTAAAATTCCCACGTCATAGGAATCTTTTAAAAGCCTGGAATAATTAAAATGTGGCGTTTTCGACTGTTCATTCGTAAGTCATTATTGATTTAGTAAAATGAACAAATCTATAATTATTATAGCTTTATAGAATAATTTATATCAACTTTATCTAAAAATCAATTTTCTAATTTTGATTAACATTTTTTAAGTTTATAACAAATATAAAATAGTTTTATTTATTTTATTTGGTAATAAAAATTTTAACGCATGGTAAAGAACAAAAAGGTATTTTTAAAATGTAAAATATCTTTAAAAATTTGTTGGAATGTATAAATTTTTGGTTAGTAGACGAGTTATATATACTATACATATTGATTATTTATTTTAATTAAACTTAATTGTACCTTTTTAAAAATATTTTTTAAAAAAATTGTGCTATTTTCGTAAAATTTTGATAAAATTAAACGAAAAGTTAGAACCGTATAATAATCAAGCGAAGATTTCACAAAACTCAGTTAAATTGAAAAAAGGGATTCAAATTTAAAAATTTCGGATTAAATTTTTCTTTGCAAGAAAGGGTGAGCAAGTTATAAATCTTAAGCAACGGACGGGCGTTGCAGACTTTTAATTTACATCATTTTATTACACATTATTTTCAATTATCGCAAAAAAAATTCGTTCATCATTGAATCTTTTTTTATTACCCAAAGGTGTAGATGGATCAGTATTTGGATAATGCACCCAATCATTATTATTGTTTGCACTATTATTATTATTACCATTGCGATCCAAATCATTGTGTATATTTCTCATTCTTAACCCAGAGGAGTCTCCTATGTAATCATAATCCCTTTGGAATTTATTATCTTGATTCAAATGTAAAGTATTTTGAGTGTCATGAGAGTCTTTATCAGGTGTATTTTGGGTATACGAATTTCTATCCATGTAGATCATATGGCATAAAACCCAAAAACGAAATATAGGAAATAATATAAGAATGGTGGATATCATCAAGCAACACCAAATAACGATAACATGTGGAAACTGTCCCAGAGAATATGTAATCAGTTGAAAATCCCATACAAATCTAATAAAATGTAAAAATTGTATAATGTAATTTCAAACTAGTAGCAAAATGTAGGGAATTAGAACGGTGCTTAAGGTAAAACTATTATTCTAGGGGGAGTTTTCTTGAAAAATTTCAAAATATTAATATTAAGCTTAATCAGAAACCTGTAAAGGTCAATATTTTTGGCCCGGCCTAAATTTTAAAAAAGTGCCGCACCTTCAAATTTATTTGAACTAACATCACAACACACAAATAAAAATAGTAATGGGATACATAACAGGGTTTCCCATAAAATAAAAAAGTACGATCAATAAATGAAATTAAATTCCAATAAAAAAGAAAAGGTTCGGATCAATAAAGTAAAAGAAACAAAGACTCAAGAAAAGGTCTGAACGAAAAAGTAAAAAAGTCAACAAAAGAAAATCGTTAATTAGAGGTCTCCCGTAGTTTGAAAAAATTCACCCGCCAGTCCTTTTATTTTGAAAATTTTATTGAGTCCGCCCACTCGATCATTAAAAGTTATTTGATTGATAGATAGGCCCTTTATTTATTAGTATATTCTTATATAAACTCATAAAATATATAATATTATAAAATAAAAAGATAATTTTTAATTTAATGAATATAAGCCCATTTTGCTCATTTCGCCCGAAAAAATGTCAATACTCGGCAAGCGTGGGAGGGGTAAAACCTTCCCGTTTTAGACTTCTAATCTTTATTTATCATATTTTTTGTATTTTTTTCTTTAAATTTTAGTTATTTTTAAATATATATTTTTTAAGTCTTTCTTTAATTTTGTGTCAATTTTTGTCATATTTCCTCATTTTTGCTCTTTTGATCATATTGAATTTATATTTAAAAATATGCATTATAAATCTAGTTTTCAAAATAATTCAAAATTTAAGAATCGAATTGATTGAAGAAAATTTTACAGATCATATCGCATATTCGCTGGAAAATGATAATTGGAACCTCCTTTTCCTAAATTTGCAATATTAATTTCGATAAAAAAATAATATTTTTCTTAAGCTAAATGAATTACTGTGAAGATTGATTTTCTCCAGTCCAAACATGATATGTTTCAACTGGCCATAAGATATTATTGAATTATATTTGTAAATTAAAAATTACAATAAATAATTAATATTAACATCATATTTTATCATTCAGACTCATCTATTTAATGATAATATTTTATAAATTATTGTCTTTATTATCTGGATAAAGTGCAACTTGATAAGCTGGTAACGTTAAATAATACTATAACAACCCAGGATATCCTAGGCAGATCAAAAACTTTTTTTAAAATAAATATTACTATTAAAAAATCTTCTAGACGCATTTTATAAATCCTAAGATACCAGGGATGTGAACCCGAACCCTCCTGAACCCTCGTATTTTGAATGTACTCGAACCTGGACCCTTTTAAAAAGTGGAGGGTCCAAGGGTTCTAGACATCTAGGTGTCATAAAAAAATTTCAAAAATAAAAAATAATATAAATTTTTTAAAATTTTAATCAGTTTTTTTGGTGGAATCATTTACAGGGACGAGAACCCGGACCCTCGATATTTCGCTGAAATAAAATCCTTTTTTAAAATTTAGGGTTCAGGGTTCAAGTTTTTTTTTTAATTTTGAAAAATTTATTTTTTTATTTTAAACTTTCATTTTATTTATTTTAAATTATATGATAAAAATAATATAATAAAAAAAACATGTAATTAAGCGATTTTTATTTATAAAAGAGTTCATATAAAACAATTGTTTTTTATTCAAAAAAAAATTAATTTTTTAAAAAAAATTTTTGATCATTTTTCGTGGAATATTTTTCTTATATTTAAGAATCGGTCATGTAAAAATTTTTAAATTAATTAAAATAAATTTTTTAAAAAAATGATTTTAACTAATTTTAATAAGTCATTATTTTTCTGGTCTCCGAACCCTGAACTCGAACTGGGTTCAGAGATTTTTCACTGAACCCAAACCCATTTTTTTAGAATGAGGGTTCCTCGTCCCTGATGATTTATTTTATCTTTTTTTCTTTAAATTTTCTTCCTGGACTTCCATTTTATTTAAAGATTGATATCATAGATAATTTTCTAGTGTAGGTATTAATATTTACTCTACAAATGATTGCCTAAAAAATAATCACTTTAAAACTATCATTGATAAAGCAAGGGATGTTGCAAAATATCTAAGAACTCCCACAATTGTAAGAATATTAAAATCAATGAAAAGGTCAATGGCAAAATTAGATTGCACAACACGTTGGTACTCAATTTATATGATGCTAGAACGATTATTAAGTTTGAAAGATTTCTGTAATGATTTTATTATAAGAGAATGTGAAGTCATTTTGTCGGAAGATGATTGGCACCAAATAAAGGACCTTACTAGTGTATTAGTTCCTTTAAAAATAACATTAAGATTACAATCAGAACAATTATGTTTATCTGATTTTTATGGCATATGGATTAGATGCCGATTAGATTTAAAAAGATTTACTAGTCCTTTTTCATACGGAATATTAGAAAATATAAAAATTCGAGAGCAATAATATTTGCAAAATAGTGTTGTATATGCTTCTATATATTTAGACCCTCGATATAAAGTTTTATTGAGTATTGAGCAAAAACAAATAGCTAAAGACCATCTTAAGGATTTATGGCATACCCAAAACTCCATTATTTACAATATATTGGAGGCTAAGACAATACCTACTAGTTGTAGTGATAATAATGATAATGATAGCAAAATTGATGATCTTGAAATTTTACTTTTAGATAGAGAAATAAACAAATTATCACCAGTTAGAAAGGAGGATCAAAAAATGCCTATTGCATCTTGAAAAGTTCTCAGAAGTTAAGAGAATATATAAGGATACAAATATTTTAAAAATCAGAGAAGAAAATTCTTCAATATATTCAGAATTATATATCTTGTCTAGAATCGTCATTGTTGTACATGGCGACACAAGTACAATAATTTATGTATTATAAAGATAACTATCTTAGGCAAGTGTAGAACGTAAATTTTCATCTTTGAAATATATATTGTCTAATTTACGCGTAAATCTCAAGGATGTATTTTAGAAGATATTATGATTGTGCGATAGAATAAAACATTTAAAATATAAATTATTTCATTTTTTTTTATTTGTAAATAAATTAAATGTGTATATATTGAAATAATAATAAATGAATGAAAAAAAAATTTTTTTTGAGTCATTTTTTTATTTTCCTTGAACCCGGACCCTGAACTCGGGCCCTATTTAGATTTTATTAATGTACCCGAACCCAAATTTGGACCCTTTTTTTGTCGAAGGGTTAAAAATACTCAAATGAATATTTTTAAAGATCTTTCTTATATAAAAAATATTTTAATTTAATACTATTACCACAGTAGTGTTGTTAAATAGCCCAATTCGGGTTGATTCTAAAAAATAGCCCTATTAAGATTATAACCAAGAAAACATTATGTAGGCTTAAAGATTTTGCTCATAGCCGATAGAAATGCTTGACATCTTAATCTCGATGCTCACATAATATTATTTTAATTAAAATCTTAATCGGGCCGTTTTGAAAAATCGACCCAAATCGTCTAACAACACTAAAGTGCTAGTGTTGAACGATTATTTATTACGGCAAAGCTTATACTTTCTGATAGTAGCTCTTGACTTGGGGATGACAATATAGAAATGCAATAAAATATAAATAAATTATATATATATTAGAGGTCTGCATTGGGCGGGTTTTTGGACCCCCGCCCACCCAATATTTTAAAAAAATTTAACCCGCCCGCCCATTAGTCTAAAAATTTTTACCCGCCCGCCCATTATTTATAAATAAATTTTAACCCAGCCCGCTTACAAAATTTAATTATGGCCATTATTTCAATTTTTTAAGCATCTAATAAAAAAAAATCAGCATTACACCTCTACAAATTGACAACCAGATTTTATGGTTTTGTTTAATTGAGAATTGTCTTTTTGAAAATATCCGGTTATTTTTTTATTATCTATAAAATCTTCATAATTTACAGATGAACATTGATGCCGAAGGAAGAAGGAAATGCCACTTTTGTTATTATATTTATAGATAGATTCGCAATCATTGCAACGAATCCAATCTAGCTTTTTGTCATTTTTATCGAAAATGATTTAAATTGTTTCCACTTGAAGATTTGAGTTTATTGTCTGATTCATTATCTTTTAACTTGTAAAAATTATTTATTATTTTTTTAGATATATGTTCTTTATTCATAATATAATTTTAAAATAAAAATTAAATTAAATTAAAAAATATTTTTTTATGTTATAAAAAATAAAATTTATTCCCCTAACTTTTATTGGGAAGCCCCGGTCCCAATCCCTAAAGTTCTTAAATCAATTGGGTAGAAGAATTTCATTAAGGACAGGGATTAAAAACGAGTCCCTATCTCTTAAACAAAAAATCCAATTCGAAATCCTAAAGGGGAACTACAAGTGTTTCTTCGAAAAACTCCCTTTTCCCTCCTAGTCCAGCACGCATGGTGTTCCTATTTTATAAAATTACAAAATAAAAATAACTTAAAAAAACGATTGTTACAATAAAAAAATAAATATTGTTACTCATCATTTAAATAATTATGATTTTTTTTAGTTTGTTTCTGAACAAAAATTTTAAATTTCTTTAACCCGACCGCACATTGTTTAAATTTCTTAACCCGCCCGTAGTTTAAAATTTTTTTAACCCGTCCGCCTGCCTGTTTTCAAAAAATTTTTGCCCGCCCTGGGTGGCCCGAAACCCCGCCCAATACAGACCTTGAATATATATATATTTAAAATTATAATCATATTTTTATAACAATATTTTTTATTTGTGGCAATAGAGATGATAATAGTGGATTACTTTTTTTGATAAATAGCGGTAGCGATAGCGCCCTATTTTACTTAGTAAAAAGGTTCATAAATGTTTTAAAAAAATTAAAATTAAAAAAATTTTATATTTTATTTATTTAATGTTATCTCTTCTTTAGAATATTTACCTCTAGGTGTTATTAATTTGAGTTATATAATTATAAAAAAAATGTAGAAGTTTGTGAATTTTTAATAGCTTATTAAATATCATGGGCTAATCTTCTAACTTGGCGAGTAAATGAGGCAATTACTTTAATTTAAAATAATTATCCCATAGATAACTTTTAAACATTATTACAAATGAATGAAGATATTAAATGTAAAAATATGGCATGTAAAATAATATAAAATAAAAGCGATTTAGATAGAATTATTAAAAAAAATATGACTTCGAATGGTTTCAAAAAAAGATATATTTTAACATAATGAAAAGGAAGAAAATTGAATAATCCTAACTCCATTAGCAGCAATAGCGATGTCTAACCCATTTACACAGATCCCAGTCGAAAGATAATTTCCAGGATTAAAATATATTCTATAATAGAGAACAATTATTTATAGAACTATGTAATATGGGCCCCTGCATTCTTGTTCGAAATAATTGATTTTTATATTTATTTTTAAAGGAACGTTCCGAAAATTGGGAACGAGACATTTTTTGGCCGAGATAGAGATGGCATGGGAACGAAAAATAAGCCGTTCCGGGTCTCAGGTAAAATAAACGAGAATATAATAATTAAAAATGTGCATATTTTAATCAGTTTGGAACCATAACCTAGAACCCTTTTTTAAAATTTATAGGACCCGGAATCAAAAACCCATTTTGTTCTATTTAAAATGTTACATTCATTTATGAGGATTTATTTAGTGTTTACATGTTTTCAATTTTTTTTGACAGAAAGTTTGTTTTAATGAACCGAAATCACTTTTTTTTAAATATTCAGAATCGATAGTTTTTCGTTAAAGTTCCAAACCCTAACTTTAATATATAAGATCCATTTTATACAATAGACCATTAGATTAACTTTAATATATCTCACTGCTGAAGTTACTATAACAAAGCCTTCTATCAATAGCATCATTACTTTTCTCCCTCGATGAAGTCGAAAACGATTGTATTTAAACTAAAAACGATTAGAATGGCAACAAATATGTTGTAAATGGTTTTTATGTGGTTTACTTCTAACATTTCCCTAAAAAATATCGTTTATCTATATTTATGTAGTTGTAGTTAACATTACGTCAATAGGGATGGCCTCTCAGTGAATTCTTTTTCTTTTAAGCTTTCGTGAGTCCTAAATAATAAAAATTTGATGTAATATATTAAAAATGAAAATATTATGTAAACAAAAATGTGGATAATTTTTCAAGGTATATATGCAAAAAAAAGTAATTTATTAGCAAGGTGAAAAAAATAAAATAATTTTATCATTTTTGAAGGCGGGATTTAAGGAAGATTTTATCCAACAATCATTATATTAATTTCAAACTCAATATCGATGCCATTTGCCAAAAAATGTTATATACTAGATTAAAATAATTTTAATTTATTTAAAAAAATACACCCATTTTTTTTATTATAAATTAAGGATAGAATAGCCCATTGTGTGTTGGGTTGGATATACCAATTTGATATTAGAAAGAGATGCAACTTTGAGTTATCGATTTCATTTCGCCATTAGGGAACTGGGTCTAATATCAAAATTTCAGCAAAAAAAATTGACCTAAAAAATTAAATAGGGGTTTATAAAATAAGTCATAACATAACCAATTCTGTAATTAAAATTACGAATAAACTTATATATATTGGATATGATTGCGTTGTATGGTATGATTAATATAATATACATACGATTCAAACCATATTTTTATACTGCTCCTAAATTATGTTTACATTTTCAAAATTATATAATAGAATTATATGCTTGTTTGGCCTTTGGTCTGAGGTGACTTTAGTTTTAGGACAACATCGTAGTGATTTTACATGATGTTGAGTTTAGAATACTACGGCTCAATTTTTTTGCCCATGTCGGGTTTTCATTTTGAATGATTAAATTATTTAATTATCCATGAAATTATTTCAAATGAAAACTGGAAATTTGATCAAAAACTTTCCATTATATGATTTTCGCAATCATAATTGATATATTTTAAAAAAATTAAATCTGCCGGGCTCAGATTCTATAAAAGAATATTTTTAAGCCTAGTCTAGGTTAATTTTTTGATAAGATTTTATAGTACCTATTTCCAAGGTCAGATATATGAATACATTATAATTTGTCCAACCGATCCAATCAAGTATATTAGAAATAAGCCCAAGTCCGTTCCCAATTTGAAAAAGTTCGATTTCAATTAATACGGGAAAATTATAAGGGATTAATAAAAATATTTTAAAAAATTGAAATTAAATTAATTTAAAGTTTTGTCCAAATCCGAGATCCCCAATACATATGAATGTGTTCGAATTAGATTATCTCGAGTTCCGCGTAGAACTGTTTAAATAAAGTAGGCTAGAATAATCCAGAAAGTGAAATTTTGGAAAAATTTATCAAGTTCACCTTTATCACAAAAAAAGGCAAAAAAAACAAAGAAATATGCCCTTATATAGTAAAAGCCTCATAAAAAAGCTTAGAAAGGCTCTGAATTCACTAGTTTTAAAATATAAATCATTTCTGATGTTTACATTTTTAACCTTAATTAATATGGGAAAAAATTGATTTTTTAAATTTAGATTTTAATTTGTAAAATAAATGATAACTTTATGAAATGTCCTGGTTTAATTATCAACTAATACTTTTTATACATAATGATAAACTTAGGAAATCTATGATAATTAAATATTATGAATAACAGTGCTTACGCCTTTTTTTACCAGGGTACTGAATGGTTATATAGGTATAAGGCTATATTTATCCTGCTATAGACAATTTTTATTTCTAGTAATATTTACAATTACTCTTTTTTAGGCCTCATTTTTTGTGCGCGTAATAGCGGCCAACTGTGTAAATACTTTCTAAAGTTGATTTTATGCTCTTTATCTTTAACAGTCCTGCACACGACTGCACACGACACTTGAGGTCGAGTATATCAGACTCGAGCCTACATTCTCTTGGATTCGGGATCTCAAACTTTGACAAAATTTTAAATTAATTTGTTTTCCCAATTTTTATTACTCCTTATAATTTTCCCGCATTAATTCAAATATAGAACTTTTTAAAATTCGGCGCAAATTCGGATCTATTTCTAAAATAATATTTACTAGCTCGGATTGGATAGGTCGGACAAATTAAAAATATTTTCTTGTATCAGGTCTTAACCTTGGAAGTAAGTCCGATAAAATATTATTAAAAATAAATCTGTGTAAGAGAATTTTTTTAATATTTAAACAATTTTTTATGTCTGCCTGCATCTGTTTTATTTTCATATTTTTTAAATTTAAGTCATTTTAATAGGCATGTGCAAATTTGCGTAATTTTGTCACAAAAAATTTAGATAATTATTTTTAAAAAATCTTAAAATAATAATTACCATTTTGGTACTGAAATCTATTGTCTCTTCTAATTCTATAGCATCTTAACTTTTGTAAATACTCATCTTAAAAATATGGGACTAAACATAATATTGGTTGTGACCGCTTATTTGAAGACAAAATTTATCGAGAAAGAATACCAGTCAAATTTCAATGCAAAATTAATTATAATGCTTTATTATGAATAAGGATTTAAACAAAAAAAGAGAATTATTATCATTACAATTCACTGCCCTTTTATAGGGGGCTCCTAATTGTAAAAAAATAACAATTAAAAAACATTTCTTTAAAATTAAAAACGAAAAAATCTTGCTGAAAAATCATATTTATCAATAAAAATAAAACTATATAAATATAAAATAACTCAAAAATCAAAATACAGGATGATTTCACAAAATACAATCTAAATAGAAAAATACATCGTGACTAATCCTGATTACATTTTGTAATAGAATCCATTAACCTTAAAGACAATTGATAATATGATTAATTGTAGGGCTGTGCCGATATTAAATATCGGATCGGTACCGATATTTAGCGTTTTCCGAAAATATCGGATCGGGCTAATACCTGTAAAGAAACCGATCCGATCTTTTTACTTTTCTTTTTTTTGTTATTTTATTTTATGTTATGTATATTTATTTTACATTATTATAATATTTTCTAAATAATTTTTTTAAATTTTATTTCTTTTTTAAAATAGATTTATAGTATTTTAAAAGTTTTTTTTATAAAAATAGAAAGGAACACCCAAAGTTTTATTTATTTTAAATATTTTCAAATAACGCTAATTTTTTTATTTATACTTTAAATAAAAGAATTTTTTTAAATATGATATCTGAATTATGGAAATATTTTACAAAAGACAATGATAATTTTGCAAAATGCGTTATCTGCGGAATCATCTGAGTCTGCCTTCAGTACAGCAGGAGATATAGATAGTTAATATCGTAGAAACTTATTCCCAGAAAATCTAGAGGCTCTCATATTTATTAAAAAAATCTAATATATTATAATTTTATATATTAAATATTACAATTTTATAATTCCAACATAAAATGGATATATTATTAAATATATATTTTTTTATTATAGTCTTAATTGTAGAAATAAAAAAATTAAATTATTCATAATTTGATTTTTTGCATAAAAAATATTGATTTCTTAATTACATTTGGTTCAAACGGGGGTGATTAAAAATCAGTAAAAATATCGGATCGGTTTTGAAGCAATATCGGAAAATATCGGATCGGTGAAAAATATGTGCATCGGCACAGTCCTAATTAATTGTATTCAACTTTATTGTTAAATGTGTATGAAATTGATGCATTTAGATTGATTTTGTAAAAGATATATAAACTAAAGTACAAAATATATTAAAGCAGTTAAAAATATAATAAATTGTTCAATAATAGCCAAATATGTCATTGGCGCAGTTTCAAATAAAGAAATTTAATATAAAGGAGTGCGAGATGGAAGTTTATTTATCAAAGATGAAATTCATTTTTAAAATGTCAAAATAGAAGACAAAAAATAGTTTTCATTACAAATATTGGATTAGGAATTTATTCAAAATTATTTACTTTGAGTTTACCGAAGACATTAGATGAAATATCATACGATGATATGATTAAATTTTAAAAATTATTACCAGAAGAAAACGAGTTTTATGCTAGAGGATATTTTTCCAAAACAGAACAATAAAAAGGAGATACGATTACAGAATATATAAATAAATTAAAGATAAAAGCAAATACGTATGATTTTAAAGAGATGTATAATACAGTATTGCGGGATAAATTAGTGTCGGGAATTACGAATGAAAAAATATTAATGAAATTAATCAACACTCCAAACTTGATTTGGGAAAGGGCTGTTCAAATCGCTACCTAAATGGAAATAACGGAAATGATTTCGTATAAAAAATTATCTGCAGGAAAGGAGATAAAATTGCAAAAACAGTGACAAGGGGGCAGCACGACAAGTATAAACCAATATCAAAAATTATTTGTTATTGTTGTGGATTATAAGACCACATAAATCTTAATCCAAATTTAAATGCAATTTGTCATAATTGTGGAATAAAAGGACATTTACACAAAGTATGCAGAAGGAATCGTGGTAAGAAAGAATATATTCGAACGATAGATGTCCCAGAAAAGGAGCGAGAAAGTTTTAAGGATTGGGATTCTCCAGAGGAGTTGCGGAAAAAATTTGAGGTGAAATTATTGATAGATAAAATATATATTAATTTTTTAACTGACATAGGATCGGCAGTCTCCATTTTGAATATAGAAGACGTTTATTGTTTAAAATACCAGTAGCAAAAACGGATATTATTTTAAAATGTTATAATAATGTAATGATCGATATTCTAGATAAATGTATATTACCTAGTACTGTAAACATTTCTAAAAAAATCTAACGCGTTCACGTTCACTTTCAAAAGAACGTGTACGCGTTTCGTTCAAAATTTTATGATAAATTCTTTTAAAAATTTAATTTAATATAAATAAATGTCGTATATTTTTTAAGACAATATATTAGCCATATTAAAAAATAATATAGTTTTATTTGATAATATAGTTAAAACAATATAATATAGTGAATAAAAAGATATTTTTATTTACAAAAAATTTTTCTTATTAATTTTTAATAACACTTGTTTTTCAAGATTTTCATCCAATAGACAGGAACGCTTGGCAGTTAATACGGCATTAGCTATACTAAAAACGCGCTCTACATGCAGATGAGGGGATTGCAGTTTTATACTTAATAAACAACTCTTTTAAAGAGAAGAATTTATTAAAAACATTTATTGTTTTGTCCTTTGCTTCAATAAATTGAGATAAGTTATCCTCCTCCAATCCTCAATTATTAATTAGAAATGTATATAGTGGCCCATACCTCCCTAGAACTAAAGGAGAAGCAGAGCGGCTAGTACAAACTTTAAAAAACATAATGATTTAAAATACAAGATTTTCTGTTAAATTGTCGAAATACACCACAAATAACCAAAAAACAATCACCAAGTACAATTATGCTTAAATTTCAACCCATATGATCCTTACATTTAATAAAACCAATTTATCCTCATCTATACATACACCAGTTACCAGGTTTTTTTTTATATATAAATGAGAAAATATATGCAAAAGACTTTTAAAAAGATATTTGGATTCCAGGTATCATCGTTAAAAGAACAGGACCAATGTTTTTAGCTGAGACCAAATAAGGTTTATGGAGAAGACATATTAATCAGTTAAAACATAGGTGACAATTATGATTAAAAAATAGAGAGGGAGGAAGAGAAGGAGAAACGATGCAAAATACACCATGAATGAATGTATTTGATCCTATACAAAACTCGATAGCCAAAGACATTGATTATAAATGGTAAGAAAATTATTTATACCATTCCAAATTGAGAGCCCAAAAAGGAGAGAATAGATGTAATAGAATCAATTAACCTTAAAGGTAATTTATATATGATTAATTGATGTATTGAGATTGATTTTGTAAAAGATAAAACTGTACAAAATATATTAAAGCAGTTAAAAATATAATAAATTGTTCAATAATAGTAAAACATGTCACATTTAAAACTCAAATCCTCACTAACTGTGCTGTTAACTTGGGTCATAAATTTAATATTTAAATAAATAAATTGTGGATTTACATTTAAAATTTAATTTATGATAAAAAATAATGAAACTTTACTAAAATATAAATACTATCTAAAATATCTATATAAATATAAAAAGTATTTAAATTTTAAATACAGTACATGTTAATGCCCAACCCTGCTAACAAAAAATCAAAAAAAAAAGTTTATGAATTATATTCAGTTTGTCTAAATATTACATTATAAATTCTAAAAAAATATACATGATAATTTTTTAAAATTCTGATTCTTTAATTTAATTAAGAACTTTATAATAGGAATAGTTTGTTATAAAACAATTCAAATTTACTTTGATATCTCTGGCACTGAATAATAAGATGTTGAGGTAAATTGAGGGTTAATATCTTTAGATATATCAATAAAGTTATGTAATTTGTTATCCATCATAACATTATATTTTTCCAAATTTACCATTTCAATCTTTGACTTTAAAAAATTAAAATTCTTTTGAACATAATTTAATATGTCATCTTCGCATTCCTTGGGTTAACTTGTTATCTACCAATAGAAAATAAAATGTACCTGAAAACATTTTTCAACATCGCTACTCATTTCTTAACTTGATCCAGGCATTGGAGTTTTCTTAAAAACAGACAAATGATTATCTGTCACATGCCATGATGAGGCGATATGATGTCAAATAAAATATTTCCAGTAATTAACGAAAAAATTGATATGAATATTATTGCAGATGTTAGAATAAAAAATATTACACATTTTTACAATTATATATTTATTAAATATTGATTTTTGCTATCGAATTGCAAAGGGATCGTTTGATTTTCAATCAGAGACGTCGTTAGTTAGGTGCTTTGGTTCAAAATTATATCCAATATTTAAAAAATGGATTAGCGCTCTATATTTTTTTTATCACATTAGTAATAAAATCTATTTATAATTATTTAATATTCTTTTATTAGATAATCCTACAGATTAAAATAAAACCAACTTATAGAATCAGTGACAAAACATAAAATCTGCCCAATTTTAGGTCTATTCTGAAAGAATTTTAGCACTTGCTTCTCAATCTTTTGGTTCATGGAAAATATTTTTTGAGAAATTTCTTTTTAAGTAATGATATAATGGGAGAGAAATAACTGTTGTTTAAACCACCATAGGTTTAAGAAAACCTATTTGTTCATGTCTGCTGAAATGCATACCTAACTCCGCCAACCGTATCTCCTATTGTAATAAGCAAGGAGAGAACTTAAATATAGTTAAATTGGTTGATGAAAGTAAAATGATCAAGGTGTCAAAACAAGGAAAATAAGTTGGAAGAACAAAATGAATAGATTAGATTTTTTTTAGTTAATTGCAAATATATCACAACTGATTTATATCAGGTATCACCAAATAGGCTAACATACATCACTCAAAAAGACTGTTACTAATTGAAAAGGATTTTCTTTAATTATAATTACGAATAGATTGAATAATTAATTAAAGCTCAAGCAATTTTTTGCCTTCCTTGTAATATCTAAAACAAACAATGGTAAATTAATCTATCAAAATTGGAACAAAGTTCTTCTATTAAGAGTCCTTGAGAAACATTAATTGCAGAAAACATAAAAGAAGAGGATTCTAAGACTAAAATATTTTTCCAATTTTTTTTATAAGCTAATTAACAAATTTAAATAAAATTTAAATCAAGATAGCAATTTTAATTTTCTTCCATAAAAAATTAAAACTTTATTGGCAAACAATATTACCAAAATGGGATTAGTAATTGAATTGAGATTGTTAAAAATTTATTTGTTAAAAGTAGCTAGAGATGTAAAGGTAGGGAAATTTCCCTGGAAATAACGAGAAAATTCCGGGAAAATTTCTCAGGGATCCTAAATTTTCCCTTAATATAAATATAATATTTTATTGCAAAAATTATGATTTATATTTTATAAAATATAATATTTTAATTCAAAAATTATGATTTTTAATTTATAATTTAAATTTCATAATTATGACTCCAGAACCCATTTTCTTTAAATCCATTTATACAGGATCTAGTGCTAACATTGGTGATTATATCGCATCTGAGCTGATCATGGTAATTGAAGAAATTGGTATTAAAAAATTTATCTCACTAGTAAATGATGCTGCAATGAATATGAAAAAGGCCTGAAAATATATTTATATTGAATGCTTTTAATGTGCCCAACATGGCTTGAATCTGGTCATTAAAGATTTAGGCTGCATTCAAAGTGGAGACGGATCCGTTTTTTACATCCGTTCCGTCAAAAGTCAATCTCATTAAAAATGATATATATATATATATTGATTTTCATTTTTAAAAAATTATAGTAACGTTATAACGCTCTATAAAATTTGCCGGATAAAAAAGTCAAGATGTAATGACTTCAAAATTTGCCGGATTTGTTTTTAAGACGGAAGATATCGGAACGGACGCACTTTGAACATATATAACATTTTTAATGAGATTGACCTTTAACGGAATGGATGTAAAAAACGGATCCGTCACCACTTTGAATGCAGCCTTAGGCCAAATATATTTTATTAAAAAGATCATCAAAAAAACTAAACAAATAATTAAGTATAAAAAAATTTAATCGTATTTTATTGGTTACTTTTAAAGAAAGACAATTATTGAAAGGATATAAATCTTCCTTAAAAAATCCAAGTCCGACAAGATGGAGAAGTTTTGTTATAATGTTGCAAAGTTTAGTGAAAAATAAGGAAGTTTTGCAAGAAATTGCCACTTCAAGTTTATTTATATATAAACAAGAAGGCGTATTATATTGGACAGAGAAGGATACTGACTTTTTTGGAATTTATTTATAACAAAATTATAATTGTAGAATCGGATACAGCGGTATTATCTAATGTACTATAAATATTTTGTGATTAAAAGATAAACTCAATTCATCAACTTTAATGAAAATGATTTGAAAAATGTTAAGATTCATATTAATATCATTATGTAACAAATCTTCAGAATCCTAGATATTATGGCGTGTTAACAGTAGCTTTAAATTTAATAAATATTATTTCAGGCCAAATTAATTGCGATATTGGAAAAATTATGAGTAATTTAGCAGAATATCCTTCAAAACAAGGTTTCTATAAGAGCTGGCATATGGGAGAGCTCAATCCATACTATACCACTCATATGGTGGAAAGGGTTTAAGTGACTAGTCAGAAAGAATCTGGTCAGCATTTGGAAAAATTCATTCAAAAACGAGAAATAGAATAAAAAATGAAAGAGTCGAGAAATTAATATCAATCAGGCATAACATACATTTAAAGGATCACACAAATACATCATGTTTGGGATATCATCAAAAGAGTTCAGATTTCGATTTATCAATATCAAATTATAATGATGATATTTCAATTACATCCCATAAATATGATGATGCTATTTCATTAGCATCCCGTGAATTTTAAATGTAATTTATAATGTATGCTTATTGTAATTAATAAAGTTATTTAAAAAAATGAAATGTTTACATTATATTTTTGACTTTATTGTTTAGTTATTTTATTTTCCCTTAGTTCTCCAAATTTAATAAAGTTATTTAATAAAAAAATAAAAAGGCTAAAAGTGTATTTTATGGTTATTTCTATTTTCCGTTATTTCCCCAAATTTTCCCTTCCCCCCCCCCCCCCCAATTTTCCTTTTTTTCCCTTTTTTCCCCAATTTTCCTTTTTTCCCTTTTTTCCTCAATTTTCCTTTCCCTTTTTTCCCCAATTTTCCCGGGGAAATTTCCCCTGAACTAATTTCCCGGGAAATTTACATCTCTAGTTAAAAGTTTGTAAAATTATAAAGATTGTGTTACATCGGATTTTGTCAAATTTCTCTACATATACAAAAATGCATTTTCAAATATTTAAATATTTTGTATCAATTTAGATCATCCTCACGGAGTTGTGAGTCAAATTTATCACCATTAATGAGAAATATTAAATTAGATAAAAGTTCGAGGAGTGATATAAAAGTTGAGTTGAACCCCCTGAAAAATTGGAAGAATCCACAAAATGTTTTATACCACTAATAAAAAAGCTAATTTAAGAATATTCACTAAAAGTGGTAATTTAAGATAATGTTAGCTAAGAAAGAGTAAGATAATTTTGGATAATGTTAGAAAAAGGATATTTGAGCCCCTGATATTATTAAGGCTAGTGACGCCCTTAATAAGAAAGGGTAACTTGATTTTATTAGGACATGGAAAATACATAACCGAAACTATTAATTTTGGAAATGTTTTCAAAGTATTTGAAATCTCAACTAAAATTATATTGTTAATGCTTAATTTTTGACGCCCTTAATAAGAAAGGGTAACTTGATTTTATTAGGACATGGAAAATTCATAACCGAAACTATTAATTTTGGAAATGTTTTCAAAGTATTTGAAATCTCAACTAAAATTATATTGTTAATGCTTAATTTTTGTTAGTTTTATGCTCAATCATTGATCATAATATCAATTGTAATTAGTTATAAATATTTTCTAAATTACTTATATTTTATAATTGAATATTGAATCCCCAACAAATATTATACAAGCACAATTAAACTATGTCAATACAATTTTATATTTGTAAAATCATTAAATCAACTTATTCTTCCAGCTTTAGATTAATTCTTATCTTCCATATAATTATATAAATATATTTGATTATTATATATTTTTATTATTTTTTAGATAAAATTGTTTATTTAAATTTTGTATTAAAATAATTTGAATATTTGTTCTATGGCATTGAAAAATCTCTTAATTGCCCTTCCAATATTTTTATGCCCCCCCCCCCACAATGGGTCAAACTAGAATCGGTCTGCATGAATTTCCTATTAGGTAAGCATTTGAAAAACTTTTTTTTTGTCAAACCATACAAAAATAAATATTTGTTAATAGTTTAATCAGAGAATTAAGAATTCACCACAACCAGTGAGCTACTTATATTTTTCATTATCGCTAAAAAAATTATGAATGCAAGTTTTTATTATTTTTTTTAAGTTTTGTTAAATTGATTTTAGTTTTCCTTTTCAAATCATTCTCTCCTCCACATCAAACTTTCTTTAGCTAAATGATATATTTATTAAATTTTTATCAACACAATTGCAACATTAAACATTTTAAATTAATTATTGCTTTAAAAAAAAAAGAAAATATAAGGAAATATTTTCTTTCTCTTTTATTTAATAAAAAAGTAAGCATTTCTATTTTCCCCAACGCTTAATTCATTGTAAAAAACATAAGCAATTTTATATTTGGCTCTGCAAAATTTTTTTTTTATTAACGTAATAAAAAAAATTACAACAAAAATATATCGGATTTTTTTTCTACATTTATTTTAAAAAAATAAGCAATTTTAAATTGTTCCTGTAAGTATATTTTTTTACGTAATAAAAATAATATTATTTAACACAATATATTAGCCATATTAAAAAATAATTTAGTATTATTTTATAATACAATTATAAATACAATATAAGTGAATAAAAAGATATGTTTATTATAAAAAAACATTCTTATTCATTATTAATAACAATTGTTTTTAAAAATTTTATCCGATAGACATGAACGCTTGGCAATTAATACGGTATTAGCTATACTTAAAACGCGCTCTACAGGGGTAGATGAGGGGATTGCGGTATTATACTTAATAAACAACTCTTTTAATTAACGAGAGGAATTTATTAAAAA